AGTGTCGTCAGGGAGCATGTTGTATGGTAAGGCTGCGCTAGAGGCATTGACATGTGTTGTACAAGTAATAGACATGTAATGAAGTCCGACTTAGATGTTGAGCACGGGAATCGTCATAGGTGCTGGATAATCTCGATACTTGCAATAGACCTACAATAGAACCAGAAGATTCACTATTCTGAGTTGCCATAATACCATGTTCATCGAGGCAAGACATCATGGGTGCATATCAGCTGGCGAGGATGAAAGCGACGTGCGGGATCAGTACCGTGTCCGTGCGCGCAATGCGCGGATTCGCGTAATGCGCGGGGTCAACCACAAATTACTTTCACCTCAACCATCCACAGCGCCACCAATATGGATCCGATTGAAGCTGCAATTGCAGCAATTGACGCGCACGGATCTGGTGAAGGATTCTCGTATACAAAAATTGCAAAAGAGTTTGGAGTTGTGAGATCTACGTTGATCAGAAGGCATAAGGAGCTTACGCAACCCCGCTCCGACGCACATCGAAAACTCCATCCAGATCAAGAAAAGGAGATAGTACAGTATATTCAGGGGCTTACTGCGAAGCGTTTGCCACCTACAAGAGCTATTATACGCTCTCTAGCATCCTCCGTTGCCGGCACTAACGTCAGCGAGAGCTGGGTGAATAGATTTCTCAAAAGAAACTCTAATCATCTCATCTCAAAATGGATTAGGGGCATGGATCGGGCACGCCACAGAGCTGATTCAGGAGTCAAATACAAGCTGTACTTTGACCTGTTACACAAGAAAATCGAGGAGTATAAGATTAGGCCAGGGGACATCTACAACATGGACGAAAAGGGGTTTCTCATAGGCGTCACCGGCAGATCAAAACGAGTATTCAGCAGGCGTATGTGGGAGAAAAAGGAGGTTACTACAGGGGTTCAGGACGGATCTCGCGAGTGGATTTCGATCCTAGCTTGTATTTGCGCTGATAGATCAGTTTTGCCGCCTGGCATTATCTATTAAGGTGGCTCAGGAGGCCTCCAATTAGACTGGGTAGACGACGTTGCCTAATCAGCTCATCTAGTATTTATTAGCTCATCTAAATCCGGATGGTCGAACAATAAGGTAGGGCTTGCCTAGCTTAAGGAAGTGTTTAAGCCAGCTACAAGGTCCAAAACGCTCTATTCACATCGATTACTTATTATAGATGGGCACGGATCTTATATAAGTTAGGAGTTTTTGGACTATTGCAATAAGAACAAGATTCTCCTAACTATCTTTCCTTCTTATTCAACCTATACCCTCTAGCCCCTAGATGTTGCGATGTTTAGGCCTCTATCAGCTGCCTATACAAATAAGCTAATTACCTTTACCTACACCACCTAGGGCTTCTCCAAAATGAGAAAAGGAGACTTCTTCTACCTTTTCTGGCCCGCCTGGATATCTACTTTTAGGCCTGAGCTCATTAAAAAGGCCTTTACCGCCACCGGCATCTAGCCACCCAATCTAGCTCGTGTACTCAAAAGATTCACCTGTACTACCCCTAAGGTAGTAGATGAGGACGAGGAGTTAACGGAGCCTATCGACGGGTTAGATTAGCGCAGGATCTATTCAATAGTCGTCAAAGTAGCCAAGGGTGAAAGGAGGAGTAGGGAGGTGAAAAGACTCCGGAGAACCATCTATTATCTCGCCACCCAAAATACGCTCCTTCACAAGGAGGTAAGGGGTCTCCTGGATAGGTTGAGTAGAAGGGCTCACCAGCAAAAAAGCTACCCCTTGAAACTCTAAAAAAAACAAGGATAACTATCATAGGGGAGCTATTTTCTGGTCGCCAAGGAAGATCTGGGAGGCCAAGGAGCGTAGGATCCAAATAGAACAATAGAGAGATCAGGAGGCACTCTAAAAAGCTGGGATGAAAGAGTTAAGAGACTAGGCAAGGTTATACAAGCTTCGATTAGCTCAGGAGAAGCGTGCCGAACGAGAGGCAGCCAGGGAGAGGAGGATGAAGGAGAAGGCCGAGAAGGAGGCTGAACGCGCCCGCAAAAAGGCCGATCGTGACTCCAAAAAAGCTATCCAACAGTCCCAAAACGGTAAGCGTAAGGCTTCAACAAGCTCTAGTAATCGCAATAAGCGTCAAAAACGTGTTGCGGATGCTGCAGCTGTTGAAGAGGCCTCAGGAGCTGCACCAGCCCCACCACCAAAAGTGAGCCGCTGCGGCCGGAACATCAGATTGCCGAGCAAATATAAGTAGCGCAAAGTAATCAGGGGCATTAAAATACTACTACTCTGTGAAATCTCGCGATAATAGCTTTTGTGTGGTGATCTATAGCCTCATTTTTGGATTTGAGATGGTGTTGTTGGGCGGCGCATTACGCGAATCCGCGCATTGCGCGCACGGACACGGTAACGTGTCTGTGCGCGTGATGCCCATAATCGCGTGCCGCACACCCCACCAATATCGCGACGACGGCAAAGTTGAGGCTGTGCAGCCACGTACAATAACTATGATCGCGAGATTTTCCGGTGTATTGATCTATAGACGTAGCTCTACAACTTTGTCTATCTATATTTTGCCGGAGTATTGACGGCCCGGCCGCGTCGGGTGGTTGTTGGTGGGGGAGCCGGTGCAGCCACCTCAGCCAGAGTGCCACCGCCAGCACCACCCACGCGTCGTTTTTTTGGCTGTTGCTTTGCAGCGGGCTTTGAAGCCTTACGCTTGCCCGATTGGGGTTGTTGTATAGCCTTTGCAGCGTCGCGATCGCGTCGTTTGGCGTCAAGTTCGGCAGCCTTTACAGCCTTGGCTTCATCCCGCACCTTCTTTGCCTCCTCACGCGCCGCCCGCGCTGCCTCTTTGATCTTAAGTTGATAGATCCTGTTGTTCTCCTTTGCCTCTTTCAACTCTATCTTATCAAGTAGCTCTTTCTCCTTCTCCTTCTCCTTCACTAGCTGCCTGAAGCGGGCCTCTCGAAGCTTGCACGGCGACCACCAAACTGCCCCTGAATGGAACGCTTTTCGCTGCTGTAGATCTAGGGGAGGTTCGTGCCGATTGCGGGGCTTCTGGTGAACGTGTAGCGCCGCGCGCAGTGCGTCCTTCTCGTACTCGGCGATCTCTTTGGCAGCCTGGAGGCGGAGGAGTATTTCTGAGAGGTTGTTGGCCGCAATAGAGCTCGGATCGTAGGCCTGATTAATGAGGTTCGTGATAGTAGCTCTACTCACGTTCACTAGTGGCGGCGGTGCTGTTAGTGTTGACTTTCGGAACTTTTTAAGTACTACTTCGGGATCTATAGGAGCTATCCCAGTGGCTTTAAATGCCTTCAACGCGTGCTTCTTAATGAAAGAGGAGTCCCAGGCAGGCTTGAAAAGACGGTAGAAGTCATCCTTCCTCACAGCTAAGAGACCGTGGCTCGCCTGGAGGTAGTGCTGCAAGCTGAGTGAGTACGCGGCTGCCAGAGGTTTGAACATTACCACATCGAGTGGCTGCAGCGTATGGGTACTATGGGGGGGTAGTATGAGTAACATAATATTGTGGGCGATCGCATAGTCAATAAACTCCATAGTAACGTGACTCCCATGGCCGTCAAGGATGAGTAAGCGTGTGTGATTGCCGGCCTTCTCCTTCGTATGGCGATCAAACACCTGTTCGAGCCATGCCAGGCCTACCTGATCATTGGTCCACCCTGAGGGACTTGAGGTAACGTAGACTGGATCGTCAATTGCGATATCATCAACCCATCTGGCGTACATGTTGCCCGAAGTAGCTTCGTATATAATCGCGGGCGGTAACGTACTCCCATCAGCACATATAGCAGCGATAACAGTGATCCAATCTCTGTTGCCGTCCTGTATCACTTTCTTAAAGCCCCCAGTCTCATATTTCTGCTTACTAAACACTCTCTTACTCCTCCCCGTCACTCCAATAAGGAATCCCTTCTCATCCATATTATATACATCCTGCGCCCGAATATGGTGCTGAGCCATTTTAGTAGATAGTAGATCAAAGTACGACTCGTACTTGTATACAGAATCAGCCCGGTGGCGATTGCGGTCCAAACCAGTTGACCAACGTGATATAATCGCGTCGGGATGACGGTGAAAGAAGCGCGTCACCCAGCTTTGGGAGGTAGCCCTTCCGGCTATAGCACTAGCAAAGTTCTGGATCATAGTCCTCGTCGGTGGTAAGCCAGCCTCAGTAAGCTCGTCAATGTGCTCTAGAAGCTGTAGCTCCTGGTGTGGGTGAAGGAGTTGCTGATTACGTGATTTGGCTTCATTTGAGCCCCGGATCTGTTGATGGCGTCGCGACAACGTAGAGCGATCAACACCAAAGCGGCGCGCAACCTCAGAGTATGTAAATTTATCTCCGGGATCACGCGATTCATAGCTTCAATCGCAGCGTTGATACAACTCATGGTTGTGGAGTTATGGGTGGTTGAAGTGGTAAGGGTGGATTGGTGTTGATGTTGCGGGGTGTGCGGCACGCGATTATGGGCATCACGCGCACAGACACGTTAAGCTGACCAGATCAGTAAGCTGGCCACCCCACCAAACTCAACGCGACTCTCCACGTGATAGCTCCACAACAATATAAGATTATGGTATTGTATTCTGTAGATAGCTAGTCTATTACTATTTACATTAAGTCCTTATATGTCCTTAGATATGGCACTTTGTACACGTTACCGAGGTTGCGCACGCAATGACCCGGGTCGCGCAATGACCTACCCCAACACAACAACCACCTACACAAATCACGACACAACTCCACCAATATGGATCCGATTCAAGAAGCGGTTGAAGCAATCGAATTGCGTGAGGATAGCACATCTTTTAGTTATCGCTAAGTCGCAAAACAGTTTGGGATCAGCCATCGTACGCTCGCTCGAAGGCACTAGGGTCAAACCTAGCCACGCCACATTGCCCACCTTTCCCTCCACCCACAACATGAGATAGAACTCATACGATATATTAAATCGCTTACTGAGAAGCGTATACCACCTACGCGTAAGATGATACGCAGCTTTGCGTCATCTATACATGGTAGAGAGGTTTCAGAAAGCTGGGTTACTCGGTTCCTTTAAAGAAACTCCTCCTATCTCATATCTACCTGGCAGACGGTGATGGACCGCAAACGCCACTAAGCTAATTCAGGGGCTAAGTACAGCTTGTACTTTAAGCTTCTACATAATAAGATGAAAGAGTACAACGTAGAGCCCACTCATATCTTTAATATAGATGAGAAGGGCTTCTTACTTAGGGTAACCGGGAGGTTAAAAAGAGTATTTAATAAGAGGCAATTCACTCAAAAGAGGGTTAGAGCTGCTATTCAAGATGGTTCTAGAGAGTAGGTAACAGTCCTTGCCTGTGTTTGTTCAGATGGTACAGCTCTATCCCTAAGTCTTATCTTTTAGTTAGACGCTGGAGCTCTACAATCAAGCTAGGTGGATGAAATAGACCTAAAGAAGCACTCGATCTTTATCAGCTTATCTTCTTCTAGCTGTTCCAACAACGATATAGGCCTTGCCTGGCTTAAGGAGGTGTTTAAAGGAGAAACCAGATGGAAAGCTCGCTTAGGATACTAGCTACTACTCCTTGACGGCCATGGATCCTATGTAACCATGGATTTTTTTAATTACTGCAACGACAAAAACATTATGTTAGCTGTATTTCCCCCTCACGCTACTCATACAGTCTAGCCGCTTGATGTTGGGATGTTTAAGCCTCTCTTAACTGCTTACTTAACTGAGCTTTCTTCGTACCTCTATATAAGCTAGGGGCTAAGCCTAATTAAGAAAGGAGACTTCTTCCGCTTATTCTGGAGTGCCTGGAAGACCTCCTTTACCCCTAGCAATATCATAAGCTCCTTTAAAGCGACCAGGATATCGCCACCCAACCTAGACGTTCTACTCGGGAGGTTTGACAAGGAGACTTCTAGCTTAGATAAGAGCTCTTCTTCTGTACTTGATGGAGATAATTGGCATAAGATGGACACTCTCCTGCGTTATTTAGTACAAGATTAGACTATAAAGGAGGTGAAGAAGATAAGCAGAAGTCTCCATCATATCTTAGCTCAAAACAGTATCCTTCAAGCAGAGAATAGGGGCTTAAGGGAGTCTCTTACTATTAAAAAGAAGAGCTACACTCTAAAGCTTAACAACAGCGATGAGTGTCATAGAGGTGCTGTTTTCTATTCACCCAAGAAGATACGCCAGCTCCACCTTAATGAGATCGAAAAGCGGCGCCAAAAAGATGAGATGAAGCTCCAAAAAGCTGAGCGTAGGCAGCTACGACAGCAAGCTCGATTGTACAAGCTTCAATAAGCTCAGGATAGACGGGTTGAAAGAGAGAGACTCAAGGAGGTGCGGGAGAAGGAGAAAGCCGCTAAGGCAGCTTAAAAGGAGGCCCAGAAGGTTGCTCGTGACGCTAAAAAGGCTATACAATTGTCCCAAAAGGGTAAGCGCAAGGCTTCACAAGCCCAAGAGCCTCCCACAAAGCGTCAGAAACTTGGTGGTGCTCGTGCAGCTCGTGTAGAAGCTCCTGGTGCTGCCATAGCTGCCCCAGCGTAAAAGACCAAAACGCGGTTGATTTAGAAGCCCAAAAAATATTCTGAATAGCAGAAACTCTTTGCCATATAGCCATTATTACTACATTAAGATATCGCAATGTCATCACGATTTGCTGTAGCTCTACAGCCTCATTTCCATATAATTATCATGTTGCCAAGTGGGTCATTGCGTGCGCAACCTCGGTAGTGGTGCGCGCTGACGTCCTTGGGTTGTCTGTGCCTAGTCACTCTCTATAACTACTCTATCCGCCTCTGCAGCGAGCTGCTGACCATGCTAGACCTATAGAGCTCCCCTACGGGCTATATACTAACGCTGCCTGTCCTTTCTCTGTCTACGGCGATAATTAAGAGCCCGTAGCTTACTATTCTCCTCTGCGAGTATTGTTGCTAACTACATCGTAAGCTAAGCGCTTTTAGTAAGCTAGCGGATAGTAACGCTAGTTAGGCTCTTTAATTACCAGCGCAGTTGCTCTTAGAGATAGTGTACCTGCTGCTGAAGCTGTGCTACTATATGTGGTGTCTCTATCTGCGTTGCGACGTTATCGTCTGTAGTTGTCTGTGGTGGAGACGGCGTCCGGACAACTGTGAGCGACGATAGTGTCAAGCGTCAAGGTTGGGGAGAATCATGTCGTATTAGAGCTATTGGAAAGAGGTCTATATACGCAGTGGGAAGAGGGAGTGAAGCAGCTAGGCCGTGAAGGTACTAGCGGGTAAATGGGTGGCTGCCTGGTTGCCTAAGGAGGAGCCAAGGGATAAGCCCTATGGCCGACAGATAGGACACGCTCTGGACAGTGTGGGACGAGTCCAGTCGCCTGGAAGCCGGCCTTTATGTTCGCCTGTGTGAGTACTGCTGGCCAGATCCATGTATATGTTATAAGGAAGTCTATCTTGTCAATATAGTAGACATCTTGGCGAGCCAGCTCCTAGATCTCATGGCTATATGCTCGCTTCAGCGGCGCGAAGCAGCTCACATTAAGTGGCTAGAGTAGGTGAGAGGTATAGGCTGGCATACAGAGAGTGATAATCTTGTTCTCTATACAGTACTAGTCAAACTTAGGCGTAGCGTGGCTGCTATGGCTATCTAGGATAAGAAGCCGGTAGACTCTATGCGTACGAGGAGCTGTATATCTATTGAAGTGCTTTACCCACTTAACACTAAGCTGATTAGTCGTCCAGCCGTTGTCTAACACTGCGACTACCTAGTCTGCAGGGAGGTAGTAGTACTAGCTGGCCCAGTGCTGCTTACTAGACAGGATCACGAGGGGCGGAAGACACTAGCCAGACGCGTTGATACACTCAATAGTCGTAACCCAATCGCGGTTACCTAGCTGTATAGCAGGAGCGCGACCTACTATGTCTAAGCTGGTGACAACCTTAGACGTGGCTGCGACGCCTATTATAAAGTTAGTCTTATTAAAGCTGTATGTGTCTGTATCTAGGATACCGTAGGTCTAGCGCGTCTCCTCTATAAGCTTAAACCACGCTGTGATAGTAACAGGGTCCTTACAGAGAGCGCGCTGGCTGTGGAGCTTCCTGTCCTACTTAGTCTGTAGCTTAGGACTGGCTGTTGACAAAGCGCGACACCTAGTTCTTGCCTACAGGTGGAGGAGGTGGATCTTGGCCACGCGCGGCGAGAAGAGCGTCTGCTATCCGGCGTGCGTCGATGACTTAGGGTGGAAAACCTCGTCGGTCAAGGTCTAGGATCTAGTCTATAAGAGACTGCTCCTTAATAGGAGAGAGCTTCCGTTTCTTGGCGTTAGTAACAGCTTAAGGTTAGATACCTTAGAGGCGGCCTTAGAGCGTCGTTCGCGGGGCGTCAAACAACGAGGGAGCCTGACGCTAGCTTATTACGCGTTTTTCTTGAAGCATACGAGATGCTAGAAGAACTCTACCTTTACGAGAAGTCTGTATAGGACGCTGTTGTTGCGGCATTATCATTGTTGTGTGGAGTGTCGCATCAGGTTTGGTGTGGTGGCCCGCTGACTGGTGTGGCCCGCTGAGTGGTGGAACACGTTAGGTACCTAACTAGATGTGGCTTACGTAAGATGAAGCTCAGTAACTACCTCATGCCGACATGGACACCCCTCTGCCATCATCTAATCGTCGCAATGCCTGTCAGCATCCTCATCGTCGGCGCTGGCGCCATCGGAGCATTCTATGCATCCCGCCTTGCTGTTGTTTCGGGTGTTTCCGTCTCGGTAATTTGCCGCTCGAACTACAAAGCGGTGAAAGCCAATGGCTTCCAAGTCACCTCTCCCCAGTACGGCGATTACACATTTGTGCCGGCCAACACCTTCGCGAACCCAGACGAGGCAAAAAAGAGCGAGATAGAATGGGATTACATTGTCGTGAGCACCAAGGCGTTGCCAGACGTGAGCGATGACTCGACCATACTGGAGGGTCTAGTGAGCGGTAAGACAGCCATTGTGCTGATCCAGAACGGCCTCGGTGTGGAGGACCCATATACAAAACGTTTTCCACAGGCGGCGATATGCTCGGCAGTCACAATAGCAACATGTGCACAGCCTGAACATGGGCAGATCAAGCACAACAGGTGGACGCGCATAAACAGCGGACCGTACCTACCGCATCTAGACACTGGGGGGGCCAAAGATACAGACGCTCGCATTACGGAACAGAACGAAGCGTTCATTGCTCTGCTCAAAGAGGGTGGCATCAAGGATGCAGAAGCCTACTCGCATGCTAAACTGCAATTGGTCCGCTGGCACAAGATCGCCATCAACGCCTCCATGAACCCGACATCTGTACTTACCATGTGTCTCCCCAATAACGTCATGTCTCTCGACCCAGAGCTTCAGCGCCATCTCAAAGGCGTGATGGAGGAGATCCTGGATACTGCGCCCAAGATCCTAGGCCAGCCCATGCCAAAGGAGTTCGCTACACCAGACGCGATCATCAAGTCCACGCAGAAAAATACTAGTGGCAGCCGACCGAGTATGGCAGTAGACTGGGAGGCGGGGAAGAAAATGGAGATTGAGGTCATCCTGGGAAACCCGTTGAGAATTGCAAGAGAAAGAGGATATGAGATGCCAAGGCTACAAAGCTTGTATGCGATGATTAGGATGGCACAAGAGGTCAGGGATCAGAAGAAGGACATTAAGCTATAAAAGCGTGTGGTGCTTGTGTACTATGTGTCTCTCCAAATTCCCCCCCATGTGCACCAGAACTTCGTCCCATGCTCTTCTGACACAACCGTTGCGTCCTGACTTTCACAAACTTTGGGCCCGCGAATACATAATCTCACCATCGTGTATCTCTTATCATAGTCTTCATTCCTCCCTTACCTATTCCCGTTATTCTTTCTCTGTTGCATCAGACCGGAAATTGCCCGAGGCTGTGTTTGGTGACTAGTCACGACGGACAGAAAATACGGCGAAAATCTTGGAATGCGCATACTGAACGAGGCAAAGCTCCATGTGAGCTGAGTGTAGGTGTATGACCTCAATAGTAGATCTTTTGCTGCAACCGTTTCGTATCGTTGGGATTGGGACCAGCCATCTTGAGTGGGTCGTTTTGGTTGACCGTACCATAGAACGAAGATCTCCCACGCGACTTGAGAGGGGTCAATGAATTTGTAAAAAAAACTAGGTCCCTACTTACGTCGAACTGCTGCAGTCGCCTACATGCAGACTTGCTATCAGTCAGGTAACTCAGTTCGAACTGACTGAACTGACTGCCAAGACTCAGTTCAGTCAGTCAGTTCTTGAGGCAGCTGGACGTCAGTCCAGTCAGTTCAGAAGCCTCCAGACTGACTGAACTGACTGACGTTAGACTGACGTTAGCTGTTTTTAAAGCAGTATTTTAGAGTTGTGAAAGCCACATTTAGTGCGGCTTCGAAGCCGCGCTAGTCCTAGATATAAAGACACTAATCCTATATAAGTTAAAGCATCTAGCTTTAAGCTAATTAGAGTTTGCGGAAATGCGCTACCCGGTGCGCACCTAGTAAGCCTTTCGCGTCGCGTCGCGTCGCGTCTGCTATACACACGACGCTAGACTACTGTTGCCATAATACTTCTTGGTGTACTTCATGTCTACTCCCTCTAATTCAGGCCTTCGCCGCCTTGTAGAATGCGACAAGCGCAATTCTCCTCTACCATCGCTATCAAACGCGCCTACTGTTGGCGATACTGCGAGCGAGGCCCAGGCTGATGAGCCCTTGGCAGTACAGGCGGACTTCCCCAACGACGGCGACGACGACGACGACGACGACAATTACGACGGGCTTGATTTTAAGCGTGTGCCGTATCTTGAGCGGCGCCAGGTTGAGCGTAATAGTCGCGGTGGGCCAAAAAGCTGGATCTACCGCCACGGCTGGGCCGTCTGGCACCGCAAGTACAAGAAAAACTACTGGCTTTGCCGGTACTGCCATCAACGACGGAAGCAGGAGGCTTGCTACGAGGCTGACAGCACTACAAACGCCGGCCGACACCTCTCAAGCAACAAGCCTGGACACTCACACGGACCTAACGGACCTGTACCAATTGCTAGCCGGGAGGGCAATATTATGGGCGCGCTCGCAAAGTCCCAAGTATATATTATGAGGTCTAAAGGGATAGAAGTATCGCAAGAGGTAGCAAACGAGATAGCAGCAAGCTTTTCAACCTCTCGATTTCAGGACGCGCTGAAGGACTGGGTAGTCGCGGACAACCAGAGCCTTCGCGTAATAGAAACGCCGCAGTTTCGAGCCATGATTGCGGCCGTGAGCCCGCTAGCCGAAGCTCTCCTTTGGCGTAGCCACTAAACGCTCCACGATCATATTATTACTGAGTACAATACATACATACTAGCTGTTGCCAACTACCTTCGCGAAGCCCGGTCGCTTATACACGTGTCATTCGACAACTGGACTTCAACTGGTGGGCAGTATGCTTTTTACTGGCCTCTGCGTACATTACCTTAACAGCGAGGGCAAGCTAGTTGACCACCTGCTTGGGTTGCCTGAGCTACACGGGGCGCACACTGGCAATAATATTGCCGCTGCAGCAACAACAATACTTCGGCTATTTGGCGTTGACAACGCGAGGGTTGGGTACTTTGTGCTTGACAACGCAAGTAACAATGATACTGCAGTTGAGTCCTTAGCAGAGGAGTTTGGCTTTATCGCAAGCGAGCGGCGGCTGCGGTGCTGCTGCCATATACTCAACCTAAGCGCACAATTAGTAATTTGGGGCAAAGACCGTAGCGCGTACGAGAATGAAGCCGCACACCTTGAGGAAGAGGAGAAGTACATGGATGAGTGGCGCAAATACGGTCCTGTTGGCGTCCTCTTTGACGTGATTGCGTCTATCTGTACGCCTCAAACTCGACAACTACTAGAGCGCCTACAGTGCGAGGAGGCAGAGTCTCTAGGTGTTACACCCCACATCCGGCAGCTTGTGAAGCCTGTTAAGACACGCTGGAATAGCTATTTCAACACGTTTGTCCGTGCAGCTGAGCTACACGGCCCTATCGATGGCTATATTGAGTGTAAACTTGAGGAGCATAGTGCTGCAACAGCAACCTCACGACGCCGGAAGAATCGTGAGCAGCTCCCTGCTGCCCAGCCACGGTTATATATACGCGAAGGGGGTCTAAGCGGCAAGGACTAGGCGACAATAACAGAATACATTCGACTCCTTGAGCCATTTGCCGAAGCTACACGGCTACTTAAAGGTCGCGGCCGACACGGCCGACACGGCGCTATATAGGAAGTTCTAGTAACGTTTGAGTAGCTTCTTAACCAGCTTAAGGCTCTCAAAGACCGCCTTAAGGATGTAAATTACGAAGATCTAGATGCGCCTGAAGATCATCTTATTACAAACGTTAACCTTGCACATTGTAAGCTTGCTAAGTACTACGCAAAATTCGATAACGCGCCTGTCTACTACACTGCTACAATACTACACCCGCACTACAAACACCACCTCTCAGCGCTCTGGAAGGTGCCTGACACCCATGTCACTGCCCGTGACGGTGTCCACTATCGCGACGGCTGGCTTGACAATAACCACCGGGCATTCCTGCGTATGTGGCAGGGGCGGAAGGACTCTGCAGCCACTTCAGCTCACACTGTAACGCCGCCGCGTAAGAAGCCCCGGCTAGGGATTTCAACGTCGCGATCAGCTTTTCTACAGTCGTCAATTGAGCAAAGCACACGGCAGTTAGAGGCAAGCCTTGCTGAGGATGAGTATGAGATATGGAAGCGGCAACCAGCGTTAGCTGAGGAGGATTGGCTGTCTCTTAATCCGCTTCTATACTGGGAGTCAGTTGCTGGGCAGTTCCCTATACTCTCAAAGTTCGCTATTGACGTCCTAACAATACCAGCAGCAGCGGCAGACTGTGAGCGGACTTTCAGCGAGCTTGGCGACATGTTAGGCACCCGGAGACTCCATATGAAGCCAGAGCTTATTTCAGCTTTGCAGAGCTTGAAGAGCTGGAAGAGGCTTGGTATACAGCCAACAACTACCTCAGCTTCTGGGCTAGCGCGCACACTATCAGAGGAAGAAATCTCAAAAGTACAGGAGCATTTATCTCAGTTCGACGTCAGGTAACTCAGTTCAGTCAGTCCAGTCAGTCCGCAGGCCGCGGCGACGTCAGTTCAGTCAGTCAGTTTTAGTTTAATTGAAAAGTCTTGGCAGTCAGTCCAGTCCAGTTCAGTGACCTCAGGACGTCAGTTCAGTCAGTCCAGAGAGCTCCGGACTGACTGAACTGACTGATAGCAACTCTGCCTACATGTCAGGGTAAAGGTGAGCGTGAGTGAGAGTAAGCCGAACTTGCGCGCCTTGACTAAGAACATGTAGACTCGCCGCCGCTGGCAGACTCTGACATCCACGAGAAGACACGCGCGAATATTGCCTGCTCTCTCGCTTCATCGAATTTGCTTCTGTACATGCGAGCCACCCAACATCGTGAGCGAAGATAAAGTACAAGTTCTACAATGGCGAGTTGGGAGACAGGTGAGAGAGGCTCACAGTGCTATTGTCCTTATTGGGTACAATAAGACTCACCTTCATCAATGTCCCTGCCCGGCTTGGTAGCAGACCCACTTATTTCCTAGCTCTCCCATGGAAAAACTCCGTTCATGTGGTGTCCTCTTTTGCGACCTGCCCTTGTCGTCCAGCTTTGTTCATTTGTTACTACAAATTCACTGTATCCTCAATTCCGGGGCGAGAGTGACAACACGACAAGTAGTTCGATAGCTTTATAACAGTCATGATGGATCAACAAACATTGACACGTCTGATTGCTGAAAACACGGTTCAAGAGCGAGTCCGGCAAAATCAGCAGAACCAGCAGCAATGGGGACTCGCAGTTCAACAGGGACAGCGACAGTTTGGAACATCACCCCAACAGCAGGCGCTACCTCAAGATCGCAATGGAGCTTCTCAGCAACGACAGCAAGGTTTAGCGCAGCAACAGCAGCAGATGATGCGCAGGCAAGAGCACCAGAGCGCAGCACACCCACAGCGACAGCCACAGATCGGATTGGGGCAGAACCAGATGCATCAGGTGCCGAATGTGCAACAGCGAACCGATAGCATGTCTCCTGCCTCAGCGTATTCCAACAATGCGAACACATATACCTCTCCACACTCAGTTCCTCGCCCGAAAAACAGCTTTAATGGTATATAACCACCACCAAGAATTTTTACTGGTGGCCGTTGGCCTTCCAATGGAACTTCGTCTGACCAGTTTGAAGCAGATATTTTCTTAAAAACCACTCCGCCGCGCCAGGATGTAAATGTCTTGGACGACTCCACGCAAGTGACATGACTGACATACAACAGCTACCAGATCGAGAGTCTCAAGCCGCAATTATCTCGGCGGTGCAGAAAAACACACATCAACAGCAGCAGGAACATCAGATACAACAGCTACGTCAACAGCAGCAACAACATCAACAGCGACGCCAGTTGCTTTTTCAACAGCAGCAGCAACGTGAAGAGCAGCAGCGACGTCAACGTCTACGTCAACAGCTGCAGCAACAACATCAGCAGCAACGTGGCTCGCTTTCTGTAGGACAGGTGCAGGCTTCCAGCAGTAGCCCAGGCCAAACCCGGCAAGGTGTCTCATCGCCCGTGGCGCAAAAGGGACAACCTTCGAACACTCCCAACGACCGGAAGCGCCAAGCGACGAGTGCACTGGAGAGTCCAAGCACAACTGAGAAGCGTCCATGTACCCTCGGGACTATCGATAACCCTCTTGACGCGTGCCGTATCCCGCCCACCATCGCTTTCACTCAGGGTCCTACTGGAAATTTGCCAGCATCAACCCTAGCCCCCCCAGACACAGAAGCTGTGCGTGCCAATATCGACCGTCTGGTGCAAGAGATCATTGCAGGAAACATGGCAAAGACGAGGCTGCAAGAGAAACATGAGGTTGAGGCGAAAGAGAAACTTGAGGCTCAACAGCAACGCGAGGCTCAACAGCAACGGGAGGCTGAACAAAAACGCGATGCTGAACAAAAGTTCGAGGATAGTAAGAACTCTGAGGACGAACAGAAACAGGCTGAGCAGCAGCTCGAGGCTGAACAAAAAATGGCTGAGCAGCGCAAGAAAGCCGAGCAAGAAGAGGCCGACAAAGCCCAAGAGGCACTTGTAGAGAAAGCCCGTGTTGAAGCCGATAAAATCCGCATCGAAGCCGAGCGACGCAGGAAAGCCGAGCAAGAAGAAGCTGATAAAGCCAAAAAGGCACTCGAAGAGAAAGCCCGTGCTGATGCTGAAGCCCAAAAAGCCCACATCGAAGCCTTGAGCCTCAAGATAGCCCAAAGAGACAAAGCCTGGGCCGACGCCGCAAGAGCCAAAAAAGCCGAACTAGATCGCAGAGATGCAGAATACCGCGTCGAACGCGCCAAGGTCCTCCAGAAAGAAAAAGACGACAGGCGCCGCGAAGAACTCCGCAGAGACCCCAGCGCGAACTTCCGCCACATCCTCGAAGTGTACAAACTGAACCCTCCGGAGGGCGGCTATGCAAACCGCAACACTTACCTCACCGGTCTGCTCGCCAACAAGTGTATGCCTATCGACAAGGACTCTGAGCTCGGTCTCGCCGTCACATATGCCAAGGATCATTGGGATTATTATGGTGAGTTCCCCAAGGACGTGGCTCGGTTCGCGGAGTATGAGAGGGAGAGGAGGAAGCAGGCAGCAGAGAGGAAGAAGAAGGAGGAGGAGGAGGAGGAGGAGGAGGAGGAGGAAGAGAAGCAGCAGAAGAAGTAGGTTCCGGAGTGTTGTCTTGGAGCGACTGGCAAGGACATCGACGCAGCGTCTGATGCTGTAGAATGGGGACTTGGGCTACCTCTTCGTTGCGCTCCAGGACAGGAGGCGAGCGCTTGAGTCTTAGCATTACCATCATGGTCGGAAGATACCCGATTTGATATATGGTCGTAGCTCGAGCTATAGCTTTTTTGTAGCCAGCAAATTATCGCTAGGCACATGGATTGAATTGATCCCATCATTGAATTTCTCATGGACTGTGATTTTTAATGTGAAGATGCTGGTTGTGGGTAGTCACTCAAAAACTTTAGGTTATGCGAGTCATGTCATGCTATGCGTGTCTTGAGCGGCACTGATGAGCCCAAGGATAACTCTCGAGCAGAACAAAATATGTGCTACTCAGCATAGTCCATTATCTGGTGCAGTAACTGTACACAGAAGCAGAATACGACGTTCAGTTTGTTACAAAGAGGCAAGGGTGGCGACGGGTAGGGTTTCTACTAGGAAAAAAGAAACATTGTACAGAAACAATATCGATTGTCTCTACCGTCTTTGATCATTGATGGCAGCATTCATGGGTCAGCAAAGTGTACCTGCACAATGTTTGTTAAGATAGCGGAACCATCCGTAGCAAGATCGAAGAGAACTCATAGCCCGCAAAGTACACTACGGGTGCTGAAGATACGGGAATCTTATATGAAATTATGGTTGGAGGTGGGTGTAATGCCATTGGGAAATCGGAGTAGAATGCTGCATGCTTATGTTTTGATATGCTCTACATCTGGACTCTTTCTGACTACTGCCCATATGAGTGGTATTCTCTAGAGGTCTGATCTTCATTTAATGGGAGGGCGAAAACATGTTTTCGTCACATATCCAGGCTGCAGACACAAAGGAATGTGACACTGAATGGTACAACCTTGAAGAGGGGAATAAGACATTTTGTTCACAATGATCTCAGCCCATTGTTTGAACGACGCTCAATGGACCTCTTTCAGCCGCGACAATGCCGTCCTTTCTCCTAAATTTCAGAACCACCAACCAGTCGCCACTTATACGATTTGAAAACTTCTGATCTCTTCGCAATGGACTGCAGACGCAAAGCGCACTCCTTAGCTGAATAATCCTGAATCTCCTGCGTCAAATTTACTCATACTAAAATCAAATACCCGCGCCTCACTTACGTGAAAGATCGAAGAGGAGACAAAGACGTTGCACCCCAGGCACAGCGCGCGACACCGTACAGCGCAAGCCGCTTTATATTTGGAAGCTATCTGACGCTTCACCCAACCAAGCTCTACCTTACAACTACTTACACTTCGACACCATAAAGTCGAAAATTAACAAATGGATCCAGGAGTACTTTGAACTTTTTTATTACAATTACACCGACTCTTAATTTCAACTTGCGGTAGCAATAAGCGTTCCTCTCAAATTCATTCATCAAAACACCTTAATATCGCGAAAATGTCCAATTTCAACCACCAAGAAGCCACTCCCTCAAATAAGAACATCATGCGAGCACAGAAAAGCCAGACGACTGAGTCTGCTCAAGACAGAAATCATGTACCTGTCCAGGGTGCCGGATCATTGAATACCGTCAACAATCTTCAATCTCCACCAAAAGGAACCGGAAAGCGGACTTTAGAAGAGTTTAGCATGGGCAACCATGACCGGGAAAATGAAGATGGTAAGAGGCAGCGCGTTGAGCTGCACGAGCCCACATATGCGAATGACATGTCTCAGTAGCACCAAACTGATGCCCAAGCCATGCCGAACCAGATGAGCGATCTAACACGACGAAGACGCCCATCTCAGGCGAATCAACACATGCTCCCGGGACCTGATTCTGCTCCTAGAAGTACCGTGGACACACCCGTGTCGATTACGAAGGACCTCGTTCCCCCTGTTCCGGAGTTGTCCTTGAGCTGGCCACTGCCAAAGGTCGTTGCGGATCCTACAAAGCGACGTTCCATTCGAACATCCATGGTTTGGAACTCACAAGATCCTCATCCTGATAACCGGAAGATGGTTGCTCTACGAATAGAGCACGAAGATTTGCGGTATGTGGACTACTCCATCGTAGACATGCCCATCCTCACCTGGCTACTGATCCAGGAGCGTGTCCACAAGCTCAACGAGGCGCTGACGCACTTCATGCCAGAAGAGCTACCTAAGCTGAGCAGAACGACCAACCCGAGGGAACACATGAAGCCGGTTGTCAGATGGTGCAAGGAAGAGGACTCCATTCAGCTGCTCGTCAACTTCTGGGACTCGGATACTATGATTGAGACGTTGAGGCCTTTCGCGGAAACAAAGCGCGATCTTTCGATTTACGATGTAATCTGGTTGACAGATTATGTCGAGCGTCGCAAACGTGCTGGGCTCACATTTGAACAAGATTTGCTGCTCCCATTGCCGCCTCGCATGAAAGAACCCACCCAAGAGGATCGGGAATGGTAATAGGGCACCAGAAAATTCGCCTGTTCGCCATACTCAACCTATTCCCGTTGTCCAGCCACCAGCCGTGCAGGTACCACAACAGACGGGAGGACACCCACCTGTATCTGGGCAACCGAAAGTGCCTCAACAGCAGCAAGTAACTCATCAGCCGCAGGCGCCTCCCCAACCTCCAGCACCTTCTCAGGCAGAAGTACCCCCGCAGCCTCAGTTACATCCCACGTCTCAACTACCTCCCCAGACTCATGTACCTGCGAACCTGCCTCTGCACCAGCCGGAACCAAAGAGACCATACGTGCCAGATTGGCTACCTCCTTTCAAGGAAGGCACTAGGATCAACGGTGCAGAGATTCCGGTACTGGCGCATACGCAAGAGGGACGAAACGTTCAGCCTCTGAGCGATGTTGCCAAGGATAAATCCCATGTTGTAAATCCGACTCCACCGCCGATGCTCAGTTTCTCGAAGATTACTCACGTTGGTGATTCCGTAGCATCAACGGGGGATCAGCAGCAGCGCCAGACTCCCACGTCGTCTCCTGCCTCGTCGACATCGACAAAGCGGAAGCCAGTAGATGAGGAGCAATCGGAGAACATTGGACAGGCGAATAAGAGACAGAAAACGCAAGAGCCGCCTGAGGTTGGCGAGGAGTTGTTTGCAGACGTGAGGAACGGGAAATGGACCTACGAGGAGATGTCTGCAGCCCTGCATTCTGGATTGGCTCAAGGCACCGTGTCAGGGCCTACAGTGCCCAACTCAGAGTCCATGAGAGATAATTCTGGGCATCTGGCCATCTTGAATCAGGTGCCCCAAGTGCTTGGCCAAGAATCTCTGTTCAAAGTCGAAGAGGGTGAGTACTACCCCGAGCGTTTCGACCCCCAGAAACCCGAGGAATACCAAAATATGCTCGCCCTTACCGAACCAAATGTCCCGATGAGGGTTAATCCTTTCACACTGGGTTGTAATGGTGTTCGTCGACCTCAAGATGTCGACTATCGCGCATTGCCAGAAGTGCGCAACGTGGAGGCCTTGAACCGGCGACTGAGCTCAGTCCTCCCACGCGATACAAGAGTTCCCCAGCTGCTCGGAGAGATGCCAATACCACCAGCGAACATAATCTCGGAGCTGACCCGCTGTGCGCGCTTTGCACAATCAGATGCGCAGAAGCGAGTGGATTGGCGCTTACATCCTGCTCATGTATATGAGATCGTGCAGCGCAGCAACTACTTCGGTCTGGAGCTACTGATTAGCAGAAGCGATATTGTAGTATCTTCGCCTGCAACCCGGGAAGAGCTTGACATGGCCATGGCGATGCGTTTCGCTCAACAGTTGTTTGGCAAAGACCCCATAACGTTTGTCGCAGCCGATATCCCTACGATAACTGCATACCTGGAGGGTGATATTCCTTCAGCAATGTTTCTCACCATTGCAGAAGACGACAATGTCTTTGGTGACTTTGTTGAAGAACTTGCCAAAAGGTTCTTGGAAGACTATCCGCCAATTGACAAGTCTGGCCAAGTCGCATGGATGAATCTGCATAGCCAAGCGAAGTACCCGAACTCTTTGCAGACGAAGGTGATCGAGCTCATTCTGAATAAGATCTCTGGGTTAGGTATGGATGTCCAGGATGAACCAGAAAACTCGCTGGGCGAGGACATCTATGCTAACTCGCAGGTAAATGAAAATGCTGGTACGAGTAGCTTCATAAACTTGGAGTCATCTCGCGAGGTTCTCTCTCTGGTTGATGATCGCAGTGAAAATTCGGTCACCGCAGTGGATGAGGTTCTGGCTGCTCATCTGGCAAAAAGCCAAGCATCGAGTCCGGTGATGAACACGATAAATGACCAGACCGTCGTCCCAGATGTATCCACAGTCAACGACATCCCAAAAGCTGCACCCATGGTAGATGATGAGACCGGGAACCGAGGCACGTACTTACCCCAAAACGACGAGGATACTCAGGCTAGCGTCTCGTCCCATGCAGCAGTGGGTAGCGGGCCGGAGGATATTTCTCCACAGGTCCCACAAGATGGTGACGTAGAAGGCGCCGCACTCCATGAAGGGGGCTGTATTTCTCAACCTACCGCATCTGAAAACCTCCAGCAACAGCCCTTGGATGTTACAAAGGCGCACGGGCAATGGGTCATGGACAGTGCTGGCTTTGGGAAATTTGCAGCATACCCCCATTATCAGCCCTCCGATGATCCCAGCTGGAATGAGTGGGTACAGGCCAATAACCGGAATATATTCGGGTGCGGAGCATGAGCCATCGATCTGGAGTTGTGGTACCCGGGTATCATAATGTACTTGAGGTACTAGTGTACAAGGGCCACTGTAGTCGCCAGAAAAGCTTATTAAGTGCCTAATCACACTGTCCAGTATGCTATGACAGCTAGACGGGGAGGCTTTGAGAGGGCTATCTGTGGGGACATAGTCTTGTGTTTAAGATCATCGCCACGAATGGGAGTGATTACGGTAGTGTTGTCCAGTAGCCTCGTCGTTGTGGAAGGAGTGGATAGATGGCGAGCTAGTGAGTGCCAAGCGAATGAATCTCTGGATATGAGCTCTGATCGGGGATAGGTAGATGACAGTGTTACAAGATGAAAGGGCTTAGTGTGCAGGCTGCAGGCTTGAAGTGTAGAGCATAACCATATTTCTTTCGTCAGTAATATCGTCATCTTTAGTATGATTCGTGTTAGTTGGTGCAGAACTTTTGGCAGACCCTGGTAGCGAGGAAGCGAACCATTTTTTGAATACAAAATGCTCAGCGATGACATGATTCGGAGAAGCGCTCCGCGTAAATCACGGTACCAATGCATAACTTTAGTCCTTAGTCAAATGTAAAAAAAAATGTGTAAGCTAGTAAGTGTAGAGACTATACAAATGTTAGCTCACCGCAGAAGTCACCCATTTCCGAGCACATCTCTTCAGTGCAATTTCGACATACCATTCCCACTCCTCACGAATTGACAGCCCCAGCGACCTTGAAAGCGATAAATAAACACGTCGCGATGTCCCCTACACCACCAAAAGCTGAGGAACCTCCACAAAAGAGACCCCGAGGCCGCCCGCGCAAGGATGGCAGACCAGCGGGATCGGTGCCAAAAGTCGCAAAGCCGGCCAACCACCCTTATACCAACTTAGCGCACCCTATTGATGGATCGGTAATCAAACGCGGACGAGGAAGACCCCGGAAAGTACCCCTTGTCCTCACTGTGCCAGCGCAAGGTAATGGTATCGACGACAATACCACTGTTGCGCCAGACGCTTCTTCGAGGACACCACAAAAGCAGCAAAAGATGTCAGACCAACCAAAGCGTCTAGAAGAGCTCGATGTTTCGACAGATCAAAGTGAAGAAACGCCAAAGCAGTTCTGCCTTTCGCAAACTGGCGGCTCCGGGCAGGGACAAAAATGCGAAAATTTCTGGACGACAGAGTATGAAGGTCCGAATGATCTCAAGATGATGTACGTAGAACAAGCGCCGTGCAGATATCTGCCATATCTAAGCAAAAATTGCCATGCTAAATATTGCAGGACGTTGAAAGATAACATAGCCCGACAGCAACTTCAGTGCAAGAGGTGGGCTGAAGACAGGCAGCACAGGCTGAGGGCTGCAGCAGGCCCGGGGGCAGCGTGGGGAAAAAGATGGGAACTACCGAAGTACGGAGTTGAGGACGAAATCCCCAAAGAACTTGGTCAAATCGATAAATTCATGTTTCCGCAGTTGGCGATTGTTGCGAGTGGACCAGCACTGGAGTCCGAAGTCGTTGAAGAAGTTCCCAAGGAACTTTGTCAAACCGATGAATCGATGTTCCCCCAGTGGTCGGGTAAGACGAAAAAATGGGCTCGCGAACTGCATGGAGTTTATGACGAGCGTCCTTTCTGGGAGGATACAAATATGCAAGCTTCTCCTTCGAAAGCGGCAGGGCGACGAGAGTAGACCGCACGGGCCGGTGGAATATCTTTGCGATCCTCGTTTTGAGAATATGTATATATGCGGGCTCCTACTTCGGAATTTACATTCATTACTCACTTATCTGACGTTCCACTGTCTCTAATAACAACAGCTAATTTTCGTCATAAATCAGAGCTCGAAGATGTCATGACGAACAGGCGCTGCCGTATAGCCCCGGGTTGAAAGTGAGCACGGAACGAAACACGCGTACGAAAATTACCGTGAATACGAGATAGTAGCGACAGCGCTATTCTTGGTGGAATGATTGCGTAGAGGAGGGATGCAAAATAGCGTGTGGGCGGGCGGCCCCAGGAAGTTACCTAGGTGGCTGCCAAGCCAATCAGGAAGCGCCAAGCCAAAGGTGGCGGGTGAAATCTTGCTTGCTGTTTCGCGCGCACGCTACCCTATGGATTTCGTGAGGAAGAAAAGGTCCCCTTTAAGCTACGTCGTCGTATTTGAGAGACTTTTCAGTCGAATGCTGCTGCGATTAGTCTATCACATGACCTAACTGCAATCAACCTGCCCCGCGGACAAGCAGATGTCCAAAAATCAACCGTGTTCTATCTTCAAAGTCCGTATTGAGACAAATGGCATACAGATTATGATCTACGATCAGCGCCAAATATAGAAGTAGTCCGCATCGTCTGCACGTAGTGACTGCCGAGGTTGCGCTCCCATCCGTCAAACCCTTACATCATTGTCGATTCAGCATTACTAGCTTTACACAGTTTCTCATAGGAAATCAGTCTCTTCTTTATATATGATATGCTAACGTACCTCACGGCTTCGCCGGTCACACGGCTTGGCCGGTCACTTTTGCCAAGCCCCCACCAAAACCACCCCATTCTGGCGCAGAACAGCCCACTTTAGCCCTGTATAGGACAATGCAACATGCGATATCATTCAGAGTCTACTTCTACTGCTTGCTTACACGTACGCGCGTTATGCCTAGGCTGATTGCAGCGCCTACAGCGCCTTTAAGTTGGCTCACCTCCTTTAGCGCTCACCCGCGTCTTTGGCTTCTTCCTATTACTACGCGCCCCAGACTCCTTTAGAGTAGCTAGACGAGCCCTATCCTCAACTATTAAGGTCCCTTCTGCCTGAATCCGCTTCCTTTTATACGACCTACGTCGCGTGGCAGCCTTATTCGCCGCTCGAAGCTCTGCGATCTCCTTTTGCGCTAACACTACTGTAGCTTATGCGCGATAATCGCTGCCCCCTTCGAGACCTTCTCAAAGGCCTCCACTAAAGACGTTGGTGAGCTATCTACATGCCTCTAAATCCTTGCCTTTATAAGCGTCGATTGCGACCCTAATTCAAGGGTATTGCTTGGGGTTTGCGACTGCTAGGGCTCGTTGTTAATAGGTAGTAGTAGTAATAGAGTACGCAATTGAACGTCAAGGGCTGTTGTGACCCGTTCTGGGTTAAATAGGACTAACCTAGCGCCTCGAAACCCTCCTTAGATATTAGTAGGAGTAATTGCTGTATTATAGGCGCGCATAAAGCATAGTAGGAACTCAAGCTTTGTAATGTAGGTAATCTAGTTGCGCATAAGATCTTCGGCTTAGCGCCCGTACGCCTTCTTTAAAGGGGCAAAACAACCCACATTAAGAGGCTGCAGGACGTGCGACGAGTGAGGAGGCATGTAGATAGTAATAATCTTGTTCTCCTTGCAGTATCGCTAGAATGTAAGCGAGTTGTAGCTCTTATAGCCGTTAATTACAAGTAGTTAGTGGCTGCTAACTACCCTCTTCTTTGTATACTTATTAAAGTGCTTTAACTACTGTAGACTAAGCTCGTTTGTTGTCTAGCCGTCTGTTACGAACCTAAGGAGAGGACACAGTGCAAGATATGAAGGGCAGAAGGATGGAGACCTTGTCGGAATCCCTTCTCAGACAAAGGCGTACAAAGGTGTACAAGGACCAATGACGTAAGCCTGCCCCGCATCCCACAAAGCTTGGCGGAACGCCACCATGGGACATGTCACGTGTGTCCCAAGGAATCCCACGATGTACCACGATGTCCCACGCATGGGACAGTGTAGGACAACGTAGGACGTATAGGACATAGGACATTCGTTAGTATATAACAATAGGCAATGAGCCCTTACGGTTCATTGTGTTCTCGTGCCAATCCCAGTACTTGCAATAAAGGCTAGAGTAGCTTTGATGCCTGTCTTTGTTTGGAGGAGAAGTGGGAGGGTGATGGGTCTGTGTGGTATTGCTTCTTTGAGTGTATTTCGATGTGTTTTGTACTGTTTGCAATCTAGAAGTAGATGCTGTGGTGTTTGTGGTTTGTAGCATATACATAGATTGCAGTCTCTCTGTAAGGGGCTAGACCACAGCTGCCGTATCGATGACGATACACAGATGACTGATCAAGAGATGCCTTGTAACAGAGTGGATTTGACAAAGAGCTACAAAAGGATGCTAGCTGTACATAAATACAGGAGCGGACCGAAGATGGGCCGAAGTAGAATTAGATGGATGATGACAGAAACCTATAGATGTATCTCGAAGGAATCGCATGACGACAGCTACGCACACAGCGTAGCGCATGTAATAGGCTCAGCCTGTTACAGTGGCCAGCTTACTTATGTGGCCAGCTCTCTTGTAGAATAGGTTAGCTTTAAAACTCTAGAACTAAAATCTTCATATAGATGTAGCTGAGCTATAAGAAAAATTAGAGGATTCTATTTAGTAGGGAAAAAGTTATATGTAGGTGTCAGAATATGGGCATATTTTGGGTGGTGGACAAAATCCGGGTGTTCGGAGCTGTGGATTCTGTGGATCAGTTAAATTAGTCAGCGCGCACAATCCACCGCGACCCAACTGATCGAACAGCGTTGGACAACAGAACACACGACATCAGACCAGAACAATACAATCGATCCCAATCATATTATTATACTATTATCCCCGTCTTTGATAACCCATCACAATCTGACAATTAAGAGTCTCATCCGCCCTACCAATAATCCAACAACCAAATCGCTATGACCGCTCAAGCCAACCAACAGAACGCGACAGTGCTCCTACGCGACGAGCACGACTATCGCGCTTGGTACAGCCAACTCCAAGCGCGCTGTGTCACCTACAATATATGGGAACAGGTCAATCCTGATGGGACAAAGCTGCCACTGATGGAGCCGTTCCCTCCGGAGCTCCCGGAGTGCGCCGACTACGCGCCATCGACTGGACTCCCTGCAGGAGCCAATCCAACTAGACTATCAGATCTATCCTCAGCGGGACAACGAGCCTACAAGGACGATCTTGAGATCTACAAACTCAAAATGGAGCAATACAAAACAAAGTACGCCAGATACAAGACTGAGATAACCAATCTCCAACACATTATGATCCTCGTCCAATCTACCGTCGCGGTTCACCTACAGCGCACCTGCTGTCCGCCAGATGGATCGATCAGAGACTGGATCAAGAACCTTCGAGCCCATGTGGGCATCACTATCGAAACCGAACGAGAGCAAGCGCGACAGCGATACTACAGTGCTCTTAAACCACCTCGATCCGCGAATAACTGGGATACCTGGCTCGCCGAGTACAATCAAGCTGTAACTGAAGCGGAGACACTTAAGGTGCCTGATACTACTCAGTTTAGATCAGTAGCTGTAGACTTTATGTCGGCAGTAAACAAAATAGCCCCAATATGGGCAGCAACCTTCCAATCCAATGGGATGGATCAACCTGGGGTAACCCAGAAGGACATGATGAGACGGTTCCGAGAGTATATGATGCTGAATCATCCGATCACGCGAAACAGAAGCCAAAAGGCAGCTTTTGCAGTGGATGATCCATCTGTATTTCTTGCTGCGAACAGCAACGCTGACCAGCGCGTGGATGGGGACACCCACCATGTGGAAACGGGAAACTCTCAAGTCAGAAAACGGGGCAGACCCCGATATCAACGTACAGCTATAGAGGAAGGCGATCGCGAACCTCCAAGCTCTTCAATCCCTCCAAGAGGAAGAGGCAAAAGCGCAAGATCGTACGCCTACGGTAACTCCGCCAAAGCGGACGCCGTGCCTGGTAAAACTGTGATCGCAGACGCCAGAGGCCCCAAATGTCCAGCATGTGACATGGGGCATGCCCTCCGTGATTGCTTCTACGTGTATACTGAGAAAGCTCCGGAGTGGTGGGAACCCAATCCAAGAACAGCCCAATTCGTGGAGCTCAGACGAGAACATGACGCTGAGTTTCAGAGTCTCCTGAGAGCCCAAGGTCGCCCAAGGACTCATACTCCAAGACTTAAGCAGTCCCAAACTCCTACACCTAATCTTATTGATGATTGACTAAATGGACGACAGATATCGAAGATCGACGCCATGTTCGCCGCTGTATCCTCCCTATCGAATCGGCACGATTACCCACTAAGCAACTCCTTCATCTTTGACTCAGGATCGACGTGCCATATCACGAACAACCCCGATCGGATCCACAACTATCGGCCACCGATCCATGGAGATTTCATATGGGCAGGCAATAGCCAGATTTGGATCAAGGGATATGGATCAATAGTCATACAGCTTGAACATAAACAGAGAGTAGAGAAACTCGTGCTCCACGACGTAGCAATCTGCCCAGACATCCTCTGCAATATCGTCTCATTTAGAGTACTGAGAAAGCAAGGACTCTGGTGGGATACCCAATCGGATCCCACAGCGGTCAAGCGATCAGATGGATCAACCGTCTGCGAGCTGGCAGAGCTATATGGTCAATGGGTACTGGAGTATCGGCCAAATGGATCAGAGGACAGAGTAGCCCTACACGCCCACTCACAAACGTCCCGAACGCGCCGGCGACCCCAACAGGCGCCTGCTCTCCTCTGGCACAAAAGACTGGGACACCCAGGGCCAGCAGCGATCGAGCACCTAGTCCAGCAAGCTGAGGGGGTGCGAGTTAAAGGGGTAACGACAGTGCAGTGCGATGCGTGTGGCCGAGCGAAAATCCGACGACAGATCAGCCGCG